ATGAGTCAGGTCTGACTCGGCACATAACAACAGTAAGTTGCTTTAACAGATATATCCCAAAATGTCTGTGATTTAACATACTAGAAGTTTATTTCTTGCTCATATCAAGTTTAATGTGGGTATACCTGGTTCAGTGGGAATAGTGAGGGCTTCTCAGCTCCACAGAGTCATGCACAGACTCAGGATGCCTGACAGAGCTGCTGACATTCTCAACATGGGAACTGCCAAGGCTGCCCTGAGCCTCAGCATCCAGCCTCAACATCGGGGAGGAGAGAGAAGATGGAATGTGGGTGGTGTTTGTGGGCCAAGCTTTGAAGGGAAACACATTGGGATAGCAGGACCTGAGCTGGAGAGATGAGAAGTTTTGCTGTTGAGGGGTGCCTCATGCCCACCCCAAGTTTGCAGCAATCGTTCAGTTATCACTTTCTAATTACTGCAGCAAATGGAACAATCTGTCTTTATAGGTCCTTGATTGATTCAGCTGGATCACATTTCAGAGGGAGTGGGTCAATTTTTGGTGCAAGCAGCACTGTTTGGGCATGTTTCATTCCACGCCAGTCTTCCCAACTCACCTGCTTTTTTCTCTTTTTCTGTTTCCATCTGTGGTAGTTAAGGTTGTGTGTCACCTTGGCTGGGCCTGGTTTTGAATGGCTAGGCAGCTGGATGTAGTTATTCCCCATGGTGAGATTGGTAATCAACTCCATGGTGGGATCTACTGGAGCAGCTAAGTAGGTGCTGTAGGGATGTGGGCTGCTTGTCGTATATAAGAAGCAGCTTTGAGATAGGTCTCTAGCTTTTTGGCACGCTTGAACCCTGCATGTAGCCAAGTTGTTATTCAGCAGCCTGCCATACCCTGCCGATCTTGGGACTTCTTCTGGACTTAAATTAGTGGCCTTCTGTGTTGTTTAGTAATATTAGGACTGTGCCTTTTTACATGCAGACCTTGGGTTTGTCAGCCTCAGCATCCAGCAGCTGCCTGAGTTAAGAGAAGCCTCTAGCTCCAGTGGGCCGGGAGCAAGAGGCAGAGCTGAAGCCCAAGGTTGAGGGATCATCACCCAGCCCTTAGAGCATGGCACTTTGAACTCAGACTTCTAGCCTTCAAAATTGTAAGAGAATAAATTCGTTTGTTTGAGCCATCTCATTTGTGGTATTTTCTGCTGGAGCAGCACGACGTAACCAAAACACCATCCCTCCCTGCCTCCTTCCCCTGTTCTTTCCTTCCTTTTTAAAGTTGTTTTTTTTAAAAAATCATGGTTTGAATATATATATGCATGTGTGTGTGTGTATATATATATATAAATTTGTTATTTTAACAAAATTTGCACATACAATGGTATTAATTTTATTTACAGTATTGTGCAGTCATCATCACTGTTTATTTGAAAATTTTCTCATCACCTCAAACAGAGACTCTATACCCATTAAGCAATAATTCCCATTCCTCCCTCCCTCAGCCCCTGCTAACCACTAATCGACTTTCTGTCTATATAGATTTGCATATTCTGGACATTTTATATAAATGGGATCATACAATATTTGTCCTTTTGTGTCTGACTTATTTCCCTTAACATAGTGTTTTTAAGATTCATCCATGTGGTAGCATGTATCAGAACTTCATTTCTCTTTATAGCTATATAATTTTCCCTTGTATATGGACAGACCACATTTGTTTAACTATTCTTCTCTGCTGGACTTGGAGGTTGTTTCCATTCACTCTTGTGAATAATGTTACAATCAACATTGATGTACAAATATCTATTTGACTCCTTGCTTTCAGTTCTTAAACCCAGGAGTGGAATCGCTGGGTCATATGGTAATTCTGTGTTTAACTTTTGAGGAACCTTGATTTTTTTCCCTTATTTCACAATTCAGACCCTCCAAGAGTTCTTGGAGGAAGGTTATTCCATCATTTTTTTCCCCTTAATTTTATAAAGATGAAAAGCTTTTGCAAAATATGAATAGAGTTTACAAAATAAACTCCAACAGAAAAAGAAAACTCATAATGGTACTAAAAAATGCTGGAGGACTTAGAAGAAATTTTAAAGTAATAAATTTAAAGATTTTATGTTTTCATTTCTGAAAGTATTACTTACAAAGCTGTTTTTTGCTAATTTTTTTTTCAGGATTACCATATTTGGGGTGTGGTGGCAGCAATGGCTGGCAAATTTGCCATAGGGGGAGCATTTGGCCTCATTTATCTATATACAGCAGAGCTGTACCCAACCATTGTAAGGTAAGGGCTATTTATTTTTTGTTGTTTTCCTATAATCTTTCATTTATATGTCATTTACTTGGCCCATGAATATAAGTATTTTTTTCCCATCAAAGTGACCTGGAGCTCTGAGATAAGGGAAAGTTACCTGATGATGCTAATTCTGACTCTAAGGCTTTGCTTGTACCTGATTAGCAATGACATTAAAAAAATTATTTTGCAGTAACATTCTGTTGTCCAAACCATTTTAAATCTCAGATACAGTTGACTTCCACTGACTTTCCGTATGATTCGAAGCTCATTTTCTCAGGATGTGTCACTCGGGTTCTAGATATCAGTAGTTTACCCAGCAGCACTTTGGAAGAAAGTCCTGGTGATCTACGTCCAAAGCAGCAGCCACTGAAAACCCCACCAGAGCCCAGTTCTACTCTGACACACGTGGGGTTGCCTGACTCAGATTAGACTCCATTGCAACTGTTCGTTTTTTGTTGTTGTTTTCAGGTCGCTGGCTGTGGGAAGTGGCAGCATGATGTGCCGTGTGGGAAGCATCGTGGCCCCGTTCTGCGTGTACCTCACAAGCATTTGGGTCTTCATGCCACAGGTGTTAATCAGTTAACTAGAGCCTTACTGAGATAGCAGAGAGGCAGAGTAGCCAATTGCACTCAATACTTCATTGGGAACCAATTTATAATTCAATAATGGGGATTAGTAGGAAAATGAACAGCTCACTGTTCAGTCAGTAGGGTGGTGGTTACTGTGTTATTGTTTGTTGATTGCCTTCCGGCCACTGGTGAGCTGTTAATTACAAGTCTGCTTGCCAGAAACAGGCTTCTTCTCACCTGCGCATCACGAAGCCGGAACGACAGAAGGGGAGCTCTGTCTGTGTCCTCTCCCAGCGCCCCTGCCCACATCACCAGGCCCGGGCTTGCCTGCTTTCCTCAGCCTGGGTCCCTAGGCAGCTTCCCATCCCCAGTGCTTGCCTCTGGTGGTCAAGGTGAATTACAGTTCTTTGAAAGATGTGGAGTCTTATGGAGAGATTCAGGGATCTATCCCTCCCTTCCTCTGCCTCTTGTAGTGAGCTGCTGCTTGATTATGAAGAGGAAGAGCAGTTGTGTTCAGTTTGCAGATGTCCTCATGTAGGAGTTGAGAGGTTGGGAAATGGAGAGGTGAAGCACTGTTACACTTGGGTTTAGTATGATCCTTCTGGTCATGGAGGAGCTCTGGTGGCATAGTGCCTAAATCATTTGGCTAGCTAACCAGAAGGCTGGCAGTTCAAACCCACCAGCCACTCCTCGGAAGAAAGATGGGGTAATCTAGTTCCATAGTGATACCATTTCGGAAACCCAGGGAGGGTTCGCTATGAGTCAAATTGGCTCAATGGCAGTGAGTTGGGTTGGTTTGGTTTTCTTCTGGTCATGAGGATAGAAGGGGTGGGGAAGGTGAGTGGTGCCGCAATTCCCAGCAGTGACTTAGAGGGGAGCCCTTGGCCTGTCGGCCCTCGGCCTCCTCTCCCAGCCTCTCTCCTGCTGCTTCCTCTTGCTCTCCGTGGGTTGTTCCCTTTTGTTCTTCAGTGCCTCTGCTTTTTCTCTCCAATTGCTCTGCAAATAGATGCATTCTCCAACCTTCTATACTCGGCTCCCTTCTCATCTTCCTGCATGGAACACGTCTTGCAGCTGCTGACCTGTCTTCCAAACTGTAGAGCCATGGTCCACTGGCCTCATCGATATGCACCCTCAGTGTCTTACAAGGATAACAAGATTTCCAGTTCCATTGAGAACTAGTCAGTGGCTCCAATTCCCTCCTCCTGGCTCAATTTCAGCGAGGCACTCACTGGCCTCAAGCATGAAACTTGACATCAGCTTTTATTCCTCCTGTTCTTTCCTTCTTCTCCCAAACTGTTAATCATCAAATTCTCACCTTCTGCTTCAAAACCACCTCTCCCTGCCTGCTTTCAGTGCCCCAGGTCAAACCCTCAGCACTTTCTGCCTTCCAGGGCTTCTTTCTGTTCTCTGAGCCCTACTCCCAGCAGAATAGCTTATTTGACAACCCTTAACACCTTCAGAGTAAAATCCAAACTCAGTCCCATACTCAAGGCTTTCCTAGTTTGGCATTCTGCCCATCTTCCCTGTTTTGTTTTGTGTCTTCACATAGCATCATCCTATACTTCATAGCCATGCAGTCCTTCCAGCTCATATGTGTTCTCACACATACAACACCCTTTTCTCCTCCCTGCTTCTGCCTAAATATCCTCTTGGCAGAGAGTGTGTGTCTCTCTCGTCTCCCCCTGGCAAACTTCCGTGCATCATTTAAGACCCAGATTAAGCTCTACTTTCGAGAAGGTAGCCAGGATCCAATAACCAACCTCTCCCTATCCCATAGTTCCAGGGCATTTAATGTGTCCCCCTTCATAATTCACAATCATAGTCTGTCTCCATTGTTGTTGGTGTTAGATGCTATTGAGCCAGTTCCAATTCACAGTTACTCTGTGTACAACAAAACAAAACACTGGCTGATCCCGCACCATCCTCACAATCATTGCCATCCTTGAGCCTACTGTTGCAGCTCCTTTGCTGGTCCGTCTCGCTGAGGGCCTTCCTCTTTTTCTCTGACCCTCTAGCTTACCAAGCATGATGTCCTTCTCCAGGGACTAGTCCCTCCTAATAATGTGTCCAAAGTATGTGAGATGAAATCTCTTGCTCTTTGCTTCTAAGAAGCGTTATGGCTGGACTTCTTCCAAGACAGTTTCTTCGTTCTTCTGGCAATCGATGGTATCTTCAACATTCTTCACCAACACCACAATTCAAATGTATCAACTCTTCTTTGGTCTTCTTAATTCATTTTCCAGCTATTGAGCTTCTCCGTCGTCTTTTTCCACAGATGGAGTAGATTTGATTCCTGTGTATTTCATCTGGCAAGACCTATGTGTATAATCACCGCTTATGTTGTTTTTTAAAAAGGTATCATTGATTTTTCAAAGTTCTATTATGTGATCTCCATCATCAATTCTATCACCAAGTCCGTATTTTCCAACTACTTATCTTTCTTCTTTGTTTCCAACTTTTGTATTTCAATCACTAGTAATTATGAATGCATCTTGATTGCATGTCTGATAAATTCCAGACTGCAAAAGTCAGTGAAAATCTTTATTTTATTCATCTTTGGCAATAGTGGTTGATGGGTAAATTTGAATAATAGTTGTATTAACTGGTCTTCCTTGTAGGTATGTGGATATTATCCTGTCACTGATAGTGTTATACTTCAGGATAGATCTTGAAATGTTCTTTTTGATGATGAACGTAACACCATTCCTCTTCAATTTTTTATTCATGGCATAGTAGACCATATGATTGCCCGATTCGGAATGGTCAATACCTGTCCGTTTCAGCTCACTAATGCCTAGGATATCAAACTTCAAGGGTTCCATTTCATTTTTGACAACTTCCAATTTTCCTAGGTTCATACTAAATAATTCAGTGTTGATTACTAATGGATGTTTGCAGCTACTTCTTCCCATTTTAAATTGTGCCACATCAACAAATGAGAGTCCTGAAAGCTCATCTCCATCCATGTCATGAAGGTTGACTCTGCTTTGAAGAGGCAGCTCTTCCCCAGTCTTTTGAATGCCTTCCAACCTGAGGAGCTTACTTACTGGCACTGTATCAAACAACATTCTGGTGTTGTTCATAGGTTCTTAGTGCCCAGTTTTTTTCAGAAGTGGATCCCCATATCCTTCTTCCTTGTCTTTGTCTGGAAGCTCTGCCAACACTCATCTACTGTGGGGGACATTGTTGGTACTTGAAATACCAGTGGCATAGCTTCCAGTATCACAGCAACACACAAGGTACCATCGTATGACAAAGGGACAGACAAAATGTAGATAAACTCATTTAGCAATGCTTTATTTAGTGTTGGCTTTAACCACCCTGCATAGGAGCTCTGGTAGCATAGTGCATAAGGCACTTGACTGCTAACCAGAAGGCTGATAGTTCAAACCCACCAGCCAATCCTCGGAAGGAAGGTTGGGCAATCCTACTTCCATAGTGATACTGCCTCGGAAACCCAAGGAGGGGTCACTATGAGTCAAGTCCGACTTGATGGCACATAGCAACAACAGTAACATTAACTACCCTGCTGGGTGCTAAGAAGCTGAGATGAAAGAAACAGCCTATGTATGCCTTGTGGGACTTCTAGTCTGTGGGAAAGGCAGAAGAGTAAGCCAACACAGTCCCCTGAAATAAGGGGCATATTGCGGAAAGGCTGAGGCTAAGGAGGTCTGGTGGTGCTGTGGTTAAGGCATTAGACTGCTAACCAAAGCATCTGTGGTTTGAACCCACCAGCTGCTCTGTGGGAGAAAGATGAGGCAGTCTACTTCCGTAAAGATTTACAGCCTTGGAAGTCCCGTGAGGGAGTCAGAACACACTTGATGGCAGTGGGTTTTGGTTTGACTGAGGCTGAGGCTCCTTGATGGTGCAAAGGGTTTGTGGTCAACTGTTAACCTAAAGGTTGGTGGTCAAACTCACCCAGTAGCACTGGGTAAGAAAGACCTGGCAATCTCCTTTTGTAAAGACTGTTGACTCTAATTTATGGTGACCCCACGTATGCTGAGTACAACTGCTCCATAGGGTCTTTGAGGCTGTGACCTTCCCAAAACAGACTGTCAGGCCTGTTTTCCAAGACCCTCTGGGTGGGTTTGACTGCCATCCTTTTGATAAGTAAAAAACCAAACTCACCGCCATTGAGTCAATGGACTCATGGCAATTCCTCCTTGGGTTTCTGAGGCAGTATCTCTATGGAAGTAGATTGCCCAATCTTCTTTTCTGAGGAGTGGCTAGGGGCTTTGAACCACAGCCTTCTGGTTAGCAGTCAGATGCCCTAGCACTAAGCCACAGTGCCTAACCATTTGCAGTCAAGAAAACCCTGTGGGAACAGTTCTACTCTGTAACACATGAGGGCACCATGAACCAGAATTGACTTGACAGCAACATTTTTGTTTGTTTATTGATAGTTTTAATAGAAGCACAAGATAAGAACACCAACCCAGACTAGGATCAGAGGGGAGGCTTCCTGGAGGAGGAGGCTTTTAATTTGTATCTGAAGTGACTAGTAAGGATCAGCTAGGCAGAGAAGGATAGAAGGGAATTACAGCCAGGGGGAACAGAAAGGTGAGGACTCAGAGGTGAAGAGGAACATAATTGCTAATATCCAGGGTGGGTTGTGGAGAGGCAGGAGATAAGTCTGGAAAGATGAGCAAGGGTCTCAAAGGAGGCTGCTATATAGTTTGGGCTAGGACTGAAGAATACTTGAACTAAAAGAGATTGGAGAGAACAAGATAGGAAAGTCATATCAACAGGATGTTGTGGCCAGTTGGGTGTGGTGGAGAGGAGTACTGGATGTTCCAGAGCCCTTCTAGGAGGGAGAGGAAACTCAGGAGGAAGTGGAGAAGGACAGTGGCTAACTGTTGTGTATAATGAGAATGGCCAGGGCATGCATTTAGGAGGCAGGTGTTCTGACAAGTCTGGTGCTCCAGGGACAGCCCAGTTGGAAGGACGGTTTTGGGAATCAGTTTATGAAAAGATTGGAGAAGAGTGAGGGAGACTGGAGAGCAGACCCTGGGAACAATGGCATTGAAGGTGGAAGGACCAGTCCATGGTGGAGATCAATGAGCAGTAGTTGGGGAGGTGGTGGTGGTGACTAGGACCCCAGGGGAGGAGAGGAGGAGAGGAAGGCAAAAGGATACAGTGGCCAGGAAAGAGAGAAAAGTGTCCTTTGCATTTGGCAGCTGGGAGTCTGTGGCCTAGGAAGAGCAGCTCTGTGGGTGGTGGGAGTGGGTCAGACTATAGATGGCTAGGACTGAGGGCTTGCTGAGAGAAAGAAAGGAGGGAGAGAGCCAGAGTGGGTGTGGCTTGAAGCCAGGGCCTCATTCACTTGTTTTTAAAGATGCAATAGCAGTAATAATAACTAATATTTATTGACTGCTTGGAGTCCCTGGGTGGTACAAGTGGTTGATGGGTTCAGCTGCTAAATTAAAGGTTGGTGGTTTGAGTCCACTGAGAGATGCCTGAAAAGAAAGACCTGGTGAGCTACTTCTGACAAATCACAGCCATTGAAAGCTCTGTGGAGCACAGTTCTTCTCGGGCACACACGAGGTTTTCAGCAATAGGGATCAACTCAACTGCAACCGGAATTGGTTTATTGACTGCTTACCTTGGGCCAAGCACTGTTTTAAGCAGGGATTCAAACTGGTTTGAACAATTTCATTCATGGCTGATGCAGAACAATCAGAATGTGCAAAATGTGGACACACTGGTTGAAACCAGAGCAGGAAAAAGCATAAGTTGAAGCCTTGGATTGGGAGACACGAGAAAGGTATAGCGAGCCCTTTCAGGAGCCTGATGCAGGAGACGGGAGTACTGCTGGGACTGCAGAGAGCAAGACATTAAAACACGGCATGGTTGCTGCCATCTTTGAGTGGGGATCCGTTGTTGCCACCTTTGCTAGTCAAGAGATTTGGTTGCGATGCAGCACACACGCTGCCCTTGTTTTCTAAGAGGGAGATTAAGTTTCTAACAGGGCACCACCCTGTAGTTTTTCCCATTTCAGTTATCATTCGGGTACATCCACATTTTGCAAATTGGAGTCCATTATGGTTTCACTTCATTGGCCATAACTGGACTGGGAAGAACCGATTTGAAGTTCCAGTTTTAAGTGCCTTAAATGTATTGTTTAATTTAATCCTTTGAATAATCCTTTGAGGCAGGTACTATTACCATTTCCATTTTATACATAAGGAAACTGAGGCACAGAGAAGTTAGGTAAATTTTACAAGGACACATAGGTAGCACATGGCAAAATCCAGGCAGAGCTGAGCATGGAGATTATAAGAGGGTCAAGAACTTTGAGTTAGTTAGCACTTTGTGTTGCTCATTAAAAAAGAAAAGACAGGAATGGAAGAGATGTTGGTTTTTTTTTTTTTTTTTTAAGAAAACAAAACTGAAACACACAGAAAATAGACAAAGTTATGAAAATCAACTACTATAAAGTTATTAAAACCAAATAAACAGACTTTTAAGCAAATGACTAGCAGGAAAAAAATAAAGATAAAAAGATATGCAGGGGCAGATTACCCACTAAATAAGGTAAGCATGGCTTACTTATGCATGTGATGAAACCCAGGTGAAATTGTTCACTACAGATTAGTAAGTAAGCACGAGTAAGCCCATGCTTACTTTGCTTATTGGGTAATCTGACACCACAGACATATGAGAGGGAGGGAGGGAAGACTGTTACTGGAGTGAGACCCAGGGAAGGAGAAGAGAGCGAAGGGATCCATCTGGTTAGGAAGCAAGGGGAGGAGTGGAAGGTGGGGCCTGTTAGGATGTTCCATTGGGTTTTTGGGGGGATCGAGGGAGCTGGCCACATAGGTAGGAGCCCAGGCCTTCTGCTTGTAGTGAGGAGGGCGACGGAGATTTATGACTTTGTGTACTGCCTGGTTGCTCTTACTGCCAAGCTAAAAACACAAATCCAGTCCCCTCTTGGATCTTCCATTTATTTTTCAATTTGCTTTTATACTTAGTCGGTGTTTCTCAGAACCTGACATAAGCCTTTTCTGCTGGCTTTTCTAGGTCAGTGAATGTATCTCCTGAATCTGGAGACACCAGATGACATCTTTAAAAATCCTTTGGCAGGTCACTTTAAATTCCCTACTGCCTCTAGGTTAAGCTTACTCATGTATTTCTAAGAATTAGGTTATCGGTGTTTTACAAAACAAAGGAAACAGTGGTCTTCCCAGGTCTCATGTGTGTTACTGCTGCGGCCTCCCATTATTTCACAGTTGCGTTATACATTTCATGTTTCTCATTTTCAGAGGCTGTAAAAATAGCAAGTACGTAGATTTATAGAAAAACTGTGCCTTTATTTTTATGGGCTTTCCCCAGGCAGTATCTACATATATTTTGCTGAAGAAGTTTAAATTGCATAAAGGTGGGTCATATTTTTATAGACTGTATAGAGATTTAGTTCTAAAAATGATCCAACATCTTCATAACAGAGATTAGATATGTAGACTTTAATTTTTAATGTGATTTATGTTTTTTAAAAGCAAATACTTTGGTACCAGTCTAAAAGGTTGCCTTTATATATCAAAATCTGGAAAGTAAAGAAATCATACTGAACTTTTATAGGAAAACAGATTAACCCTCCCAAATAGCAATGAGTTTCCATTGACTTTGTTTTGATTCCCTCTAAATTCTGTAGGTTCATTGAAATATTCATTTATTCATTCCCCATTATTTATTGGATGCTGATAAGGCACCAATTACTGAGTGCAGGGACAGCCCTGATGACCAAGTCCCACCAAGTTCTTAGCTCAGTTGCTTGGGCTCCTTTACAAGGAGCTTGGAAAATGGGACAAGGTCTTTTTTCTCTTTGACCATAGTTCCTAGGACAGTGCCTGGAAGAATAATAATGCAGGCAATAAAACTAGGTGCTGTCACCTCTTGGCGACCCCACGTACCTCAGAGTAGCACTATGCTCTGTAGGGTTTTCCCTGGCTAACTTTTTGGAAGTAGATTGTCAGACCTTTCTTCGGACGCATTTCTGGGACGACTCAACCCTCCAACCCTTGGGTACCACCCGGGGACTCAAATAGCTGGCATTGATAGAGTAGGTACTCCATAGCAGTTCATAGACGAGTTAATGAATGATCATGTTGAGCCTGGTTGATGAGTTAAAAATCTCCCAGTCCAGAGTAAGTAGCCAAAGGTCTCGCTAAGGAATAAAAACAACTGTTTTGTCCAATTCTGTTCTATTGCCTTCTGGAAAAGGTTCAGAAATTATTATTCACTGAAAGGGACATTTGTTTCTTGATGTGTCATTTACTTTTTGTTA